GTCGGACCCCCCCCCCCCCCATACAAACACTCTCACAAACTATTAAAACTTATACATATAAATTACTTTGGAAAACAATCGTTATCAATTAAATTTAGCATCAACTTTAAAGTAATTTACATTAAATGCATCTAGGAATCGGGAAAGGTTCTACAAGGTTCTACATGCATGTATAGTTCATGCACAGTTTATTTTGCGTTGTTTATGAGTGATAGACTATTTGCCTTTAGTATAGTTTTGTTCCATCCTTGAAAGTTATATTTACCTTACTGGTCTCTTTCTTTTTCTTTTGGTTGTTTACTTCGCAGTATTGTTCATGTTATGATGTACATGTAAGGCATCGTATATCAGGCGTTTAAAAAGTCACTATAATTTGGCAGTTCAGTATCGTCACCATTTCACGGCCCCTTGAAATAGAAATTTGCACAGAATGGAGAAACATTAATTCCCGAAAATTTCAAGTGTTAAAGTGAAATCATTGAAAAATTGGCAACACTAAGATAGTATTCGACTATTGAGCATTGATTAAAAACATCACTTTTTAAAAGAATATCCTACATAATATTACAGTTTCTTTAAAACTGTTGAATTAATTGAACTTTGAAATTAGAAACGTTTTTTTTTTCAATTAGAGTTATATGTAAAAATTAATAATGGTAACATTACTACTAGTACTACTAGTCCGGTGGCTTAAGGAAAAAATCGTGACACGGCGGATAAAAGCACCAAATTTTGCATGTGGGTACCTTTTGACATTCTAAATCAAATTAGAGCCGTAGCCCACGGAAAAAATTTACCGTTTGGCCAAAAAACCAAAATGGCCGCCAATTTATTGAATTCTTTAGAAATATGTACATACCTATGTTGATTTTTATCAAATAAATTATTTTCTCAGAGTTTTCCACACCCTTATTACCCATTTTAATCAAATATGTCAGATAGCAAACAAGTCCCCTTGGACTTTTTGAAAAAAATCCAAGATGGCTGTCATTTTCCATAGAAACAGCCATATGAATACTAGTGCAGAACTATTACCAGCTAGAACGATAGGTTGTCCACTATCAAATTAAATCTGTTTCTCAGATCTTTGTTACCCACAAAATATTTTTGAGGTGAGTAACTACGAAGTGTTCTTGGGCATTTTGGAAAATCCAAGATGGCTGCCATGTGCCACAGGAATTCTAGTATATGGGGGATTCAACTAATGGCAACTGGAAAGATTAGTTTTTCACTATCAAATTAAGCTGGTTTCTGAGTGTTTTCCACATCCTTTCTACCCACACAATATGTATGTGGTGAGTAACTAACAGTATTCTTGGGCATTTTGAGAAAATCCAAGATGGCCGTCATATGTAATAGGAATACTTCTAGTATTACAAAGGGTTGGAACTAATGCCAGCTAATTCACTATCAAACTCAGTTTATTTTTTTAGTGTTTTACATCTTATTATTACACTGTGATACATATCTAGCAGGTAATAAATGTGCATATTTGATCATTTTGAGAAAACCCAAGATGGCCGTCACTGGCCATAGGAATACTACTGGAATAACAACTGCATATCCATGGCTTTTCATCTACTACCAGGGTGAATTTGTGTTTGCTTATCAAGTTTTGCCCATCCTTATTAGTCCTATGATATATATCTGGTGGGTAAATAGTGTGCATCTTTGGATATTCTTAGAAAAAGATACCTACAATTTAACATAGGAATACTAATGGGTGGGTTTCAATTGCTGCTAGAGAGGCATATGGTTCATTATACAATTACATTTCCATGGGTTTGTTTTAAAAATAATTTATGTTTTTCATTCCATTTATTATTGCCCCTATGATGTATACCTGGTCTGTAGCATGTGTGTATCTTTGGGTATTCTGAAAAAATGTCTGCCTTTTGTCATTAGAATATTCGAACACATAATCAAATAATGCTAGAGATACACTGAGTGCGATTTAAATGGAGTTAACTTTGGGTCGTTTTTAAATGTTTTTCATATCCTATTTATCCTTATGAAAGACTCTGTGTGTTTTGAAAGTGTATGTATCCTTGAGTATTATTCGGAGAAAACCCAAGATAGCTGCCAGTTGGCATAGGAATATATCATTCATATGCACATAGGTGTCAATTAATACAACAGTTCAGACATTGATTCCAACATGAAATAAAGCCTTTGATGTTTAAACATGTTGACATCCTTATTAACCTTACTCTTTATAAATCTGGTGTGTAGCAAGCGTGCATCTTGCGTATTTGAGAAAATTCAAGATTGCTGCAATTCACAATAGGAATAGTACAGTCAACTACTGCCAGAGAGACATTGGGTTCAATATAAAATGAATTTTGTTTCTCGGTATTTCACACATTCTTTTTGGACTTTTAGATATCTATATGGTGGGTAACAAGTGTATACCCTTAAGTATTTTGAAAAAATATCATGATTACCCTCATTTGCCATAGAAGTGCCTATAAAATCTAATGCACCAGTTTTCCTAAGGGGAAAAGAAGGCTATATTGGATTTTCCCAAAATGATAAAATGTGGACATTAATTACCTAACAGATATGTATCATGGGATAACAATACTAAAAAAAAACAGAAAAACAACTGAATTCAGCTTCATTTTATTTGTACGCCTATCTCTCGCAGGTATTAACTGAACCCCACCTACTATGGCTATAGCAGCCATTTTGTTTTGTTTTGTTTTCAAAAAGGATACACATAACATTCTCATCACATATGTATTATGTGAATTAAAAAGATGTGGAAAATACTCAGAAACAAACCTAATTTATCAATTAATATTATATCTCCATGGCAGAAGAAGCCCTATGTGTATA